TTTTTTAATTAATAGACTTATATTTTAGGACAGATTTAGATATACAGAAACATTCAGCAGAAAGTACACAGTTCCTGTACACTCATTCTCCTCTACCTACTATTACCTCTTGCATTACTGTGGCACATTTGCTACAACTGATGAACCAATATGCATATATTATTAACTAAAGTCCATACTTTACATTAGGGTTTATTCTTTGCATTGTACAGTTCTATGGGTTTTGACAAATGCATAATGTCGTGTATTCATCATTATAGCATCATATAGAATAGTTTCACTGCCCTAATTATCCCGTGCTTCAACTATTCATTTTTCCTCTCCTTCCCATCCCTGACAATGGCTGATTTTTCTACTGTCTCCATAGTTTTGCCTTTTCTGGAATGTCATATAGTTAAAATTAGACAGTTGTAGCCTTTGAAGACTGGCTTCTTTTATGCATTTAAAGTTCCTCCATGTATTTGCGGGGCTTGATAGCTTATTTCTTTATTTCACCAAATAATATTCCACAGTATGGATGTACCATGGTTTATCCATTCACTTATTGAAAGACACCTTGATTGCTTCCAAATTTTGACAATTATGAACAAAGCTGTTATAAACATTTATGTATAGGTTTTTGTGTAGAGAGAAGTTTTCAACTCATTCAGATAAATATTTTAATAACTAGGAGTATTACTGCTGGAATGTCTGATAAGACTATATTTAGCTTTTTAAGAAAACTGCCAAACTGTTTTCCAAAGTGGCTGTATCATTTTCATTCCCACCAGCAATGAATGAGTGAGAGTTCCTATTGTTCCATAGCCTTGCCAGTATTTGGTGTGTTCAGTGTTTTGGATTTTAACTATTCTAATAGGTGTGTGTAGTGGTATCTCGCTATTGTTTAATTTGCAATGCCCTAATGACATAAGATGTTAAGCATCTTTTCATATGTTTAATATGTTATCTGCATATCTTCTTTGGTTAAGGTGTCTGTTCAGATCTTTTGCCCACTTCTTAATTTTTGAGTTTTAAGAGTTCTTTGTATATTTTGGATATAAGACCTTTATTACATACGTGTTTGCAAATATTTTCTCCAGTCTGTGGCTTGTCATTTCATTCTCTTAACAATGTCTCTGGCACAGCAGACGTTTTAATTTTAATGAAGTCTATCATGTCAATTTTTTTCTTTCATGGTGTTTTTGGTATTGCATCTAAAAATTCATTGCCAAATCCAAGGTCACCTAGAGTTTCTCCTGACTTCTATAAGTTTTCTAGTTTTGTATTTTACCTTTAGGTGTATGATCTGTTTTGAGTTAATTTTGGGGAAAGATGTAAGGTCAGTGTCTATATTTATTATTTCACATGTGGATGTCTAGTTGTTCCAACATTATTTGTTTAAAAGACTATCTTTCCTCCATTGGAATGCCTTTGTTCCTGTCAAAGATCAGTTGACCATCTTTGGGTGGATCTACTTCTGGGGTCTCTATTCTGTCCCATTGATCTATTTATCTATTCTTTTACTAATATCACACTATCTTGATTACATACAACATATATACAACAGGAAGTCAACAATAAATCAGGACACAGTTTTTGTTTCTTTTTTCTCCTCAAGATATTTTTAAACAAACATTCTGGTGCAAAAAACACAAAATAAAAATGTCAAAAAACTTGTTCAACTATAATAGGAACAGAAAGCTTATGACAGAATGGGGGGATCATAGTTTCTATTTATGGTTCATTACATAAATGGTTTAGAAAGGACTGAAAATCCTGAAAAACTACCTGAATCATAAAGAATCTATGAAATATCAAGGAAACATTTTCTAATTTGTTTCTGAAGCCTCTAAAAAAAAA